TTGATTAAAAAAAAAAACTATGCAATTTATTTGTGTGATAAAATTCAGACGTAAAATTTGAAAAACATATATTTCTTAAACAGAATTAAAGAAAAAACAAATATTTAATAATAATAATAAAAAAAAAAACAATGAAAAAGTATGAAAACACTATTATTATGTTACAAAAATATCATTTTTCCGAAACAAAATTGAAATCATTCAATAGTCTCCCTTATATGCTTTTAAAAACCAAATTGTACTTTTATTCTTTATTTTTTAGTTTTTTTTTTCAGTTTAAAACATTTTGTACCTTTTTATCGTATTTTTCTTCTTGAGAAATGCTTATTTTCAAAATTTCATAAAAAAACAAAAATTAAAAAAAAAAAAAAAAATATGAAGAAAAAATCAATAAATAAACAAAAACCATATTCCGAATGTAGACCTTTTGTAAAGGTTCTGCATTCATTTAAACGAAACCCCCCAAAAATGTTGTGTTTTTATTTTTTAGTTTTATTTTTATTTTTTTTCTTTTTCATTTCTTTACGTTCATTAGATAAGAGTTTTAAGAAGTTGATCTTCATTCGTAATCTATGTACTTTTGTAAACGACCTGTTCATTCTCTTCTTTTTCGTACTTCGGTTCGAGATGATCCATGCCATAGGCCTATGCACGTTACAGTAAAAACTGAGCTTGGAAAGAAGCTAATCATGCAAGAGGTCACATACGTTTGATTTAAAATAAACCGTAGGTTAATTCATGCCGGGGGGACATAGTTAAACTGACATCGCCGTTACGTTTTAAAATTCTGTTATACGCATCGGAGGGCTTCGAGTTCATTATCTCTGGTTTATTTTCGTGTATATCAGATTTTTAACAAGTTATAGCATTTTCACCTTTTCTGCAGTATTTATTTTTTATCGATATACATAAGATCTACCGGAAAGGCCTGTCCATTTTTAGAATGAAACAGAATACAAATCACCTATCCTATCTTCTGAATATGCTCCGAAATGGTTAGCTGACCTCAATTAAGACTTTCTGCGATCTTCGATGTTGTCACAAAAGGATCTTGCTTGACAACTTCGTCGTCGATCAAAGATGGCCAGCCTGGCCTATTAGAAAGGTCGAAATCACCTGTTTCAAATTTTTCGAGCCATTTTCTGCATGTCCTATCAGGAACTACACCTTCACCAAACACTTTCAATTAATTTCTACAAGCTTCCGTGCGCATTTCTTCATTGTTGGAGTTCATACAACATATAGTGGAGTAAATATACTTAATCAGTAGCAATGGGTACCTTATCGCTTTAGACTTAAGACTAGCGTGAATCAATTTTTAGTTAATTTGCTACGTCAGTATGTATACATTAAGCGATAAAAATAGAGTCGAACATGCGCCAAATAAACATGCTTTCGTGCCGAAATTTGTTGTCATAGAAACGCACACGACTTTCCAATAGATCTTATATGGTAGGGCTCATAACTTGGCAATAGACATACCCTCGAATCGCTGGTACTTAACATAGGCAGTTTTTACTGAAAGAGGCGTCAACGAGGTACTGAGAGAATTTAGGTGTTTAGGGAATTTACCATTAACGCGCCTACATGTACTCTATCTGTACACATACATCATCTAAGGAATTCCGCTTACTCAATTTTTTTTTTTTTTCAAGGAAAAATCATTGAATATCTAAACTATAGAAACCAAGCCTAAGTCAATTTTCTGTCGTATGGTATGACTATATATCTGAAATGTGGTAAGCCTTTCGAAATTATTGTTGAAAAGTAATATGAAATCATATGCACCCAACTCCTTTTTTACACGTTTTTTTACACGATTTTACGATTTTGAAATAACACGAATGCACCTTTTTGTGCATGAATTTTTGGTTCTAGCACAAACCCCAAAAAAAAAGTTTTTTTTTAATTCTAATTTTGGTAGTGTCCCACAGCAACATTATATAACTGGGGGAATACTGTGATCAGAACACAGTCAGGTCATGCCAACATATCTATTAATGACATTATGTCAGTCAGAGCTGGAAAATTTTTATTCCTAATTTCAATTTAAATTTTTGCATATTGTATTTATGGACTAAATTTTCACTGTAAACTAATTGTAATTCATTCTTGTTATCAAAATGAATTTTGTTTCGTTGCGTAATTTTATTATTATCTTTTTTGTGCGGTTTGCTGGGAAAATATTTGCAGTTTTTTCATTTTACGCGATTTTTTAAAGTTATGGAACATATTTCCGAATTTACTATAACTTGCACTTAAATGTTTTTTTCAGATTTTTTTGCGCGGATTTCCAAGAATTGCATCTACCGTGTAAAAAAGGAGTTGAATATATGTATGATAGTCTCGGTAGTCTCTTCTACGTTGGTAGAATAATTTGGCTTTCCATTCAGCTCATTTCCAAATAAAATAAAGAACGCAGGATAAGACTGACATCCCGTACGATAGTTAAGTGTCTGAGTTAAGTGAATCCATAACCGATCCGGCGTCGCAAAGAAAGTAATTGTTGTTAAACGTATCATTCAATTTAAAATTAACACATTTGCCGACAAGCAATTCAATGAAAAGGCGGAAAGCGAGAAAACCTTGATTTATATTTATAAAATCCACTAAAAAGTATGTTAACATTCTCGCAAGTAGAAATATATTTATTATTTTAGGCTTGGTACTGTAAATATAGCGTAATTCATCTTTATATTAAGATTTGATTATTGTGGTATTGAATTAGTGTATATACCTAGGAATGGCTTCATCATTTTAAACTTACGGTATACAGCCTCGATTGACCTCTTTAGATGAAATTTAAAAATGGGCAGAATCCGCCTTTAAATTCCTCGACAATGACTAAGTTTTGATTAAGGATTTCGAATATTCCAAGAATATCTTGCAAGGCCCGTACGTCCATTGATCAACCAGTGTCAGCAGAAAGAAAACTTTAGTTCGGATTTTAAAGAAGTAAAACAAATCTTTATAGATTTACAGAGAACAGCAGAAAAGAATGATAAGATATGATAATCTAACTGTAAATGATTTTAGTTAATGACGCATAAGATAAAATTTTAGGTGAACCCAATTTCTAAAAGGTCGTTAAACATATTACTGACCCACTTTTGTTAGGAACTTCGCATAGCATATTCACAGTATTAGATAGGTTTTTCTTGTTTGCTACGTAATTGTGTCACGGTAATATCCTATGATGCAAACATAGAATTCTTATCCCATACAAAACGCATAACCTAATTTTTTTCTATCCGCCTGAGTGGCCGAGTGGGCAACAGTCTCGACTAGCAACTCAATGTCGTTGGGTTCAAATTTCAAGTGCGGTAGAGTTTTTAATAAAGCCGAAAGTTTTAGATGCTAGTGCTTTAAGTCTTAGAATTTATTCTCTGGCTAAATTTATAATAATAATAATAATAAATTTTTTCTTCTCCCTTACCACGTAGTTTGCTGCTGCGATTTATAAGAAATTCGTTGTTTACTTACGCTTCAAGTGAAAATGGCAGACAAGCATTCTGCCGCATAGGGATTTTTGAGTTTGAAGCGTCTATTGTTGCTAAGTTTCTCTAAAAAGCGAAATATCGATTGAGGAACGAATGTCGGGGGAAATATCCTTCATTGGAAACTGACTGCTTCTAACTTAAAACACCCACTATGGAGGGGTCTGCTGGCACGGATATGTTCTCATCCAATCCTTTCAAAATATCAATTCTTGTCTTCGTTTATTGAAACAGATTCGGATATAGGTTTTTTCCCAGATTTCCACACGCTTTTTAGAGAGGAAGCCCACATGTGGTAAAAAAACTGTACTCGTAGTGCGTTACTTGGTTTATCAATTTAATTTTGCAAAAGACCAACTTTTCTTTTTTAAAAAGTTTTGAATCCAAACAAAAATAAAAGAATATCATTATGGGTTTCTTGCCTCTGTAGGCCTGAAATCTTTCGGTGAATTTTGATTACGAAGTTGTTTCTTACTTGGCTCAGAACCATTTGGCGACTTGTTGACCTAAATGAGTATCCAAGTGATAAATTTAAATCCTATTCATTATTATGAAGTCATTTTCTGTATTCTCTATGAAGAGTAACGTAAACGTTGTTTAACAAATGCGGTGCAAATTCTACGTAAAACTTACTGTCAACGCTATTCCTCATAATATGAAACATTCGCAGAATGAGAGATAATCCCAATTTTAAGCATTCACAGTCGGCTTTCGGTTTCGCGTAGACATTTTCTAGTTTGAGAAGAGCAAGCGAAAAGATTTATGAACATCTCATCACTTCAGATATTGAAAAGCTGTCGTAGGCAGTAGATGTTTAAGACATCGAGCTAAAGTTCAAATTAGACGTACTTCTAGAGTTTCGTGAAATGGCTTGCTGGATAGCATAACAGAGTTAGTGCCTTCAGGCTATCTCATGAAAAACGTTACGGCAAAATTGAATGCGAAAATTTTTTGA